GGCGAGTATCCTCTTGCCTATACAAAGGTCATAGTTGGTGCCGTTGACCTGCAGCTAATTTCACTTTTGTTTTACCGGGCCATAAGATTGATGCTTTCCAGGCGACAGTATATCACACATTACAAACGGTTCGGCGTATCTTAAAACGCCGGCCAGATATGGCAGTTCTTTTCCTTGAAGCCATGAACCACACTGAACAGACAGGTCAAACATCTACAGGACCGACGATGGTCCTGAAAAAGGCACTACCACATGTGCCAGCACAATGGCAACATGACGGGAAGGTCCAATTCCCTGACGGGACAACACTTGATCTGCTTGATTCTTCTCCCAATTGGTCGCATGTACTGCGCGAACAGCTGCGCAAAATGGTATGGAAGGAAGCACCCTTTATATCCAGACAGGATTTCTTTGATGCCCACCATGAAAAAATTGACTACCACAGCACTGTGGCTCTAATTAGAAAAGGATTTCACTTTGCAAAAAGCCAAACATAAAGGTGTAGCGCTCTCCCCACGCAACTTTCTCCATTTGCGCACATTACTCACCGGTGCCATTTATTCAGGTGAGCGTTTGTGGAAAGGAAAGCAAGTTTCTGATCCCGTTTGTGCCTTTTGTCACGCTGAAAGTGAAAATGTGGAGCACTTGTTGTGGCAGTGTACTGCATGGCATAAACAAAGGGCTAAACTGTTTAGTAAATCCACTGAAGATTTCCTTGCTGAGCTACCAACATGCACGCGTCAATGCGGTGTTATTTTGAACGATATTTTCCCAGCTCAAGGCCAACGGAAAAACTTTGCTCACATCCTTCAAAGCACGTTTATTGATATCCTTGAAGCCAGAGAAAAGGTCCGAGCAACGCAGCACCGAGAGACAGATCCAGTACCTGAGCCACTGGATCGACAAGATGATCCGGTAGATATCCGTGCTCTGAACCCGACAGCCTTCACGAGAAACGAACTGTTCCTACATATCCATGGGACTGGGAACACCACGACAGCACCTTGAGTTTTCAGAATTTTTTCCGAGGAGATGTGCCAAACAATTGGCGTCGTTTCAGCAGTAGCTCGGAGTGGATCTATGACCTTGACCTGTTTTCAGCGATGGTTTGGTACTTCAGACAATTAACATGGCCTACCAATTTATCTCACCGTACCATAACATGGTGCGAATTAATTAACGATTGATTTCCAAGCTGCCACACACACACATTTGTTCAACATCAAGTGGAAGAGCAGCTGGACGTTTTCTCCAGTGCCAATGTCCATTTGGAATCACTCATGAGATCCACCCAGACTGGATCAACACGCTCGATTTGGTGCCCCGTGCTCGGGTGCCAGGTCCTACCCCCACCTGGGAAGGTAGCAGCTCAGAACAAGCATGGTCGCATTTAACCGGATGCCGAGATTGGCAATATTTGTTTAGACAAAGACTATGGCTTCTGGCTCAACCTCTGATGGTTGGGGGGAAGTGTCCACAAAGAACTGGAATAGCTGCATTCAGTTCACTGTCATCTGGCTTTTCACAGCTCTTTTCTCTGGCCTTGCATGTTAATTCCGTTTTCTTTTTGACTTTGGCCTTGATCCTTCCTTCTGTGGCTGACCTGCCTTGTTGGATTTTGGCCTACTGGTCTATGTGGTGCTGCCTTAGGTATTCCCACGGTTTTTGCTGTCCCTGGCGGTCTCGTTCAAGACGTTCCTACCGTCGCTTTTGCTATGCGGGCCGTTTTGTCGGTCGTCGTCGCGTTCCTCGCTCAAGGCGTTTGCGTCACCGATCCTTCCGTGCTCGCCGTTTTTGGCCTCGGCTGTTCATTTGTTTGGCTTTCCTCATGCTTTTCTGTGGTCTTTGCGTGTGCCGTCATGTTGCACATCCTCTTGGACTTCTTGCCTGACGAGTCGGAGAAGCTTCCCATCCTGGCCCTCCTTCTCAATCCACAGCTGCAGCCAGCCCTGATCCTTGGGCTACTTACAATGAACGCTCCCGAGCAACTCCCTCCAACTCTGGGAAGTCAAATCCCAAAGCACCCAGCCGGTCTCCGTGGACCAGTTGCTCCATTGATCTTTCCCAGTTGGACTTTCGAACTCTCCAGGAGCCTCTCTCAATGCTTCCTCCTGATGCCTTTGCAGAAAATGCCACCGGAGTAGTCATGTTAACCCGTGCCATGTTCTCCAGTGTGTGTGCAAAGTTCGGTCAAAGCATGCCTTGCTTGTTGTCCTTCCTGGTGCCCGCAATGATGATCTGCCTGGACTTGGTATTACCAATAGTGCCTTCGCTTCCCATTGGATGTTTCTACGTGACCCGCTGCACAGCAATTGGACTCGTCGCCTGGTGACTCTTGTGCAAATGGGTGCTGTAGCTGTTCTTCCTTCCAACCTCGATGACTGTCCTGCCTGGGACACATCTTCATACTTGGAATTCTCAGCTGTGATGAGCCGCCGCTTGTTTTCTACTGATGAAGCTTGGACTGAGTTCCTTTCGTCTTCACGTACTCAGGTTGTCGCCTCAATCCGTGCCTTGCACTCTTCATTCACTCCAGCTAATGTTGAATTCTATGGATGGACCAAACTGGATTCCCATACGCAAAAAGTGACCTTCTGCACCTGCTGCACAGAAAGATATGCTCCTTGCGGCAAACGGATTCACACTCCTTTCATCATCAACCTTGTTTGTAGAGATGAAACTTCACGAAATGCACGTGACTCCACCAGTTCTGTGGTGTGGCTTGGTAAGCTTGGATTCACGGACTCCTTGGCCTGGATTAAACAAGTTGATGGTCATTTAGGCTTGGTTCTATCGAAGCAAAGCTTTGCATCCGGTGTGCTCCTGCTTCTTTGGATACTGTTCGTCGCTTGGTTTCGCCCACTGACTCCAAGTTCACTGACTCCAACATCAAGATCCGCGGTGTGCTTCGTTTCATCATTTCAGGTTTACCTGTCGGCTGTTCTCGATCCGAAATCATCAAGCGTTTTGCTGAATGGAAAGTTGGTGACACTACTGGTTGGGCTATCATTCCGGTTAAACAATGGACCACATCCGGACAGTGTCACTGGTTGGTGCGTGCTGATGTTGCTCCTCCAACACACGTTTATCTGTGCAAAAGTGGACGTATCTTGATCCAACCTGCCCCTGCTGAGCAGTATACTCCAAAACCTCGTGATCCTGCAACACTGCGGACCACCTCACGAGCCCCCAGATCAAAACCCATGACGTTGTCAAGTGCGAACATTGAGGAGGTCCTGCAGAATTGCTTCGTTTTTTGACGTTGTCAATTTCAAAAGTTGAGGGTCTTGCAGAATTGTTTCGTTTTTGATGTTGTCAAGTTCAAAAACTGAGGAAGTCTCGCAGAATAGCTTCGTTTTGAAGCTTGCAGATAGGCAGATAGATAGAGAACTACAACTACCACTACCACTACATTACAACTACAACTACAACTACAACTGCAACTGCATTGCACTACACTACGCTAATTACAGTACACCACATTGCAACTACAGCTACAACTACAACAACAACAACAACAACTGCTACTGCTACTACTACTACTGCTGCTGCTGCTACTATTACTACTACTACTAATAATAATATTAATAATGTAGAGACTCATATTACATACAGATTTATTTTCATATATCATCCTTTAAACGTGGTTGATATGTTTGTGGATACACGATAGATGTACTTATGATATGATGATATGCAATTTTTTGTCTCCAAACCTACACTAAAACTATGACAGTAAAACATGTTGCTTTGCTGATTTATGTGTGTTGTTAAAGGCCCAATATGCCAACCCTGGAGGATGGGGTCAGATCTTGGCCTACATGGCTTTCTGCGAAGTCTCCCAGGAACAGACCCCAGGAACTGATGCGTATGCTGGAGACTTTGGATTCAAGGTGTTGACTGCTTCTGACCCGGCTGAGAAAACCAAAAAACTTAATGCCGAAATCGCTAACGGAAGACTTGCGATGATGGCCATCATCGGCATGTTTTTCCAGGCGGGGATGGGGTTCTGTGCGCATATTGTTTGTTGCAGCTCCACAAGAAAAGAAACACCACAAAGAGTGTGGCTGAAAGAGTGCAACAATGTAGAGCACCAGCGCAACAGAATCAGCATCGTTGAAGAAAGAAACACAATTCTGTGTCAATTGGCATGGCGTGTTCTGAGTTTATGAAGTGTATGTCTTGCCAGCCACGTTTTCAGCACACCGCATGTTTGATTGTTTGATATTGTTTTTTCTGTTATATTTACAAATATGCTTGCCAATAAGGTGAGTTGTAGAGTGTGCGAGGAATGAACAGTTCCATGATGTGACATGCACAGATTGTACCATCGATATAATGCCTTCGAAGCATGCACAAATACATGCCTTTTGTTGCAGATTTGATACTATCCATTTTGTTTATTAACCAAATTGTATATACACATTGTTTGCGATTACATATCATATCGTGCCATAGCTATCATATCATTTCATTTAAGATCATGTCATATCATATCATATTGTATCATATTGTGCCACGTAATGTCACACCGGTTTTATTTTAGAATCATCAACAATCTCGATGCTGCCACCCTGCGCTTTTGATCTCTGCCATAACTTCCATGTCCCAGGATGGTCTGACCGGAAGCGCCTGGGGAGACTGGGCCAACTACACAGCATCTCCTTTGCGCGCATTCGAGAATGAACTCGGCGTGCAGGCGCCCGTGGGTTTCTGGGATCCCGCCGGATTTACCGCCGACGGAAGCGTGGAGGACTTCAAGCGACGTCGCGCCACCGAGATCAAGCATGGTCGCATTTCGATGTTGGCCACCATGGGATACATCACCCCAGCGACTTGGATTTGCTGAAGCTGTGTTTAAAATCGTTTAAGATCATTTCAGTAAAGATCAATAAAGCATGTTTTTTGTTGATGGCCATTTCTGCAATTCCACTGTAGTTGGGTGAACCTACTGGCAATGCGTTTTTTTCTTGAATGCATCCCGATGAAACAATCCCCAGGAGATCACTGGCAAATTCCCTGGCTACTTATCTCCATCCGCCGGTTTGAAGTTTGCCGACGTGCCTAATGGTTTGGCTGCCATCTCAAAGGTCCCAGCCGCAGGACAGGGTTGAAACAACTGGATCCATCTGAAAATCAAAGCCATGTATATATATAGTATATAGGAATACATATATATATATATATCAATAAACAAAAATAAATCAATGAATAAATAAATATAAATATAAATATAAATATAAATAAATATATATATATATATATATACGGCAATGCCTGGGCTTTGCCCGGAACCGCGCAACGCATCATCATCATCATCATCATCATGATCATCATCACCATCATCATCAAACCCTTATTGAAGATCTTCAATGAATGTAGAAGTTTAACGGGGGTGGGAGAATTAAACCCTTACTGAAGATCTTCAGTGAATGTAGAAGTTTAACGGGGGTGGGAGAATTAAACCTTCATCGAAGATCTTCAATGAATGTAGAAGTTTAATGGGGCTGGGAGAATTAAACCCTTATTGAAGATCTTCAATGAATGTAGAATCGTAGAAGTATAACGGGGGTGGGAGAATTAAACCCTTATTGAAGATCTTCAGTGAATGTAGAAGTTTAACGGGGGTGGGGGAATTGAACCCCTTATTAAAGATCTCCAATGAATGTAGAAGTTTAACGGGGATGGGAGAATTAAAGCCTTATCGAAGATCTTCAACGAATGTAGAAGTTTAACGGGGGTGGGAGAATTAAACCCTTATTGAAGACCTTCAATGAATGTAGAAGTTTTAACGGGGTCGGGGGAATTAAACCTTATTGAAGATCTTCAACGAATGTAAAGTTTAACGGGGGTGGGACTTTAATATTCCAAAATACCTTTGCTGATCGTCTCAATTGAATGTACAATTTAACGGATGGGATTTAATATTCCCTAATACCTTTGTTGGTCTTCCCAATTGAATGTAAAGTTAAACGGGGGTGGGATTTTAATATTGCCTACAGTAATACCTTTGTTTATCTTCCCAATTGAATGTAGAGTTTAACTGGGTGGGATTTTAATATTCCCTACTGTAACACATATATATATATATATACATATTCGTTCATATAACATTCGTTACACACGGTTCAGTTTGTGCATACACTAGGATAAAATGATAATTATATGATATCTGGTTGATGGTTAAATATACACTATAACATGTTGCATTGCTGATTTATGTGCGTCGTTTAAAGGCCCAATATGCCAACCCTGGAGGATGGGCTCAGATCTTGGCCTACATGGCTTTCTGCGAGGTCTCCCAGGAACAGACCCCAGGAAGCGCTGCGTATGCTGGAGACTTTGGATTCAAGGTGTTGACTGCTTCTGACCCGGCTGAGAAAACCAAAAAACTTAATGCCGAAATCGCTAACGGAAGACTTGCGATGATGGCCATCATCGGCATGTTTTTCCAGGCGGGGATGGGGTTCTGTGCGCATATTGTTTGTTACAACTCTACAAGAAAAGAAACACCACAAAGAGTCTGGCTGAAAGAGTGCAACAATGCAGAGCATCAGCACAACAGAATCAACATCGGTGAAGAAAGAAACGCAATTGTGTGTCAATTCGTATGGCGTGTTCTGAGTTTCTGAAGTTTATTTCTCGCCAGCCACGTTTTCAGAGCACTGCATGTTTGGTTGTGTAATATTGTTCTTACTGCTATATTTACACATATGTTTGCCAGTAAGGTGAGTTGTAGAGTGTGTCGGGAATGAACAGTTCCATGATGTGACATGCACAGATTGTACCATCGATACAATGCCTTCGAAGCATGCACAAATACATGCCTTTTATTGCAGATTTGAGAATTTTTTTTGTGAGTTTAACCAAACTATATACGCATTGTTTGCGATTACAAATCATATCGCGCCATATCATGTCAAATCATATCATATCATATCAAATCAAGTCATATCATATCATTTCATATCAAATCAAATCATATCATATCAAATCGTATCATATCATATCATATCATATCATATTGTACTATCACATAATGTCATACCTTGATTTTTATAGAATCATCAACAATCTCGATACTGCCACCCTGCGCTTTTGATCTCTGCCATAACTTCCATGTCCCAGGATGGTCTGACCGGAAGCGCCTGGGGAGACTGGGCCAACTACACAGCATCTCCTTTGCGCGCATTCGAGAATGAACTCGGCGTGCAGGCGCCCGTGGGTTTCTGGGATCCCGCCGGCTTTACCGCCGACGGAAGCGTGGAGGACTTCAAGCGACGTCGCGCCACCGAGATCAAGCATGGTCGCATTTCGATGTTGGCCACCATGGGATACATCACCCCAGCGACTTGGATTTGCTGAAGCTGCGTTTAAAATCGTTTACTCTCCCGAAAACTAACGACGTTGGGCAAAAAAAAACGGGTTCCATGTTAGCGCACCCATGTTGAAATTCATGAGCGGGATAAGTGCCAGGTAGGTGCCATGTTGGTGCTAGTGAACTTGGACATTTTTGCACAAGTTTTGGCTGCATGGCATGGTAACGTAGAACCCCACAAGCTGCCAGAGAGTGCTCATCCAAAAGTTCCATGTTAGCCATGGCGGCTGACACGGGGAATTCGGAACCACTATGCTGTTTGTGGTGGTTCAGTCATTTTGTCCAAGATAAATTCCAAAGTACAAATTCTGAAGACAAATTTAAACACATACAGTACAGTACATGTCAAAACAAACACACACACACGACAAGAATGGATCTTTTAAGAGATCCGTCGGGAACTGAGTCCCCGAATGTGCAGTTAGATTAGATTAGTTACATGTATATATATATGTATATATGGGCTATGGTGGCCAGTCAGTCAACAGTCTCCCTAAAAAGGGACGCCTCCAATGGCTCCATGGCACCATGTCGGAGTCACCATGGAAATCATACTAGACAAGAATGGATCTTTTAAGAGATCCGTCGGGAACTGGGTCCCCTAACGTGCAGTTAGATTAGATTAGTTACATATATATATATATATATATATATATGGGCTTTGGTGGCCACCAGCTGCGACTTAAATGCGCCCAGGTGCACCACCAAAGCCCAGCAGGTACGTTTTCGGGTCCCGGGGAGGTGTCTTCATTGGTCACCGACACCCCGGGACCCCGGTGACCCCCTGCTTTAAGGTATCATACAATATAATACAATATATAATATGATGAGCCACGAACGAAGTTTTTCGTCTGTTCAGATGTCCACACACACACACACACGAAAAAAAACAACATATCCTCAACACATTTTACAAACACATCGAAAACATTATCAAAACATAAAGAATAAACAACACCATCTATTCAAACTATAAATCCATTGTCAATTTTTGATATGTTATACAGATACTTTTTCCCATTTACCCACCATAGACGTAACATTTTTCATTTTCTCATTGTAGCCTTCCCGTTGGGAGGACCTCCGGCCAGAACCTCCGGGCGCCAAAGCCACGGGGACACTTAATGGGCTCCAAGTTAGGTTACATATTGAGCCAGCGGAAGACACTTGCTCGAGGACTTCGACCCAACAGGGGGCCTCCGGTCGCCGCAGCCGGGGACACTTACCGGGTTCCAAGTTAGGTTCCACGTTGACCCAGCGGGAGACACTTGCTCGAGGACTTGGACCCAACAGGAAAGCTCTGGGCGGGGCCTCCGGGCGCTAAAGCCACGAGGACACTTACCGGGTTCCAAGTTACATTCTTCGAGCCAAGAGGGGAAGCTCCGGGTGGGGCCTCGGCGCGCTGCAGCCACGGGGACATTTACCGGAAACCAAGTTAGATTCCACGTTGACACTTGCTCGAGGACTTCGACCCAACAGGGAAGCTCCGGGCGGGGCCTCCGCGCGCCGCAGCCACGGGGACACTTACCGGGTTCCGAATTCCATGTTCACCCAGCGGGAGACACTTGCTCGAGGACTTCGACCCAACAGGGGAAGCTCCGGGCCCCACCAAAGCCATGGGGACACTTACCGGGTTCTAAGTTAGGTTCCACGTTGACCCAACGGGAGATGCAAGCGCCCAACAGGGGAAGCTCCGGGCGGAACCTCGGGCGCCAAAGCCACGGGGACGCTTACCGGGCTCCAAGTCAGCTTCCACGTTGACCCAGCGGGAGACACTTGTTCGAGGACGTCGACCCAACAGGGGAAGCTCCGGGCAGGGCCTCCAGTCCAGCCAAACGGGAAAGCCACAATGAGATAATGAGAAATGTCACGTTGACGGGGAGTGAATCGGAAAAGGTATTTGTGTAACATTTTAATAATTAAAACTGATATTATGTGACCTCTTTACTTTTTGATGTGTGTATTTTTAAATTTGAAAATGTGCTTCAATGTAAACTGACATATGATATCTAGAAGAGCTATAAATATACAAATATAATGTCCCAAACTACACGTTTAACTGATTTTTTTTTCAAAAAACGACTAACCGCCAACTATATAACACGGTCTTTCCATGGAAACCAACATGGACCCCCATGGTACCTTTCCCATGGTGACCTCCCCCATACCCTGAAAGCTGGAAACCAACATGGAAGCCAACATGGAACCCAACATGGACCCCCACGGTACTGTACCTTTCCCATGGTGACCTCCCCCATTTTGTCTTTCTTTTGCTCCTTGTTGCTCTTTCCATCTCTTTCTTAGTTTGCTGATGTTTGCTGATGTTTGTTATCCTTTCACGTCGCTTGCTTTTTCTCTCTTCGCTGTCAGGTTTTCTGCCCGTTGCGGCTTACTTTGGAAGGTTGTGCGACGAACACGGAACCCAACACATATCCCAAAATAAATCACGACCTTTTCTTGGAGATGTTTTGGTTTCAGTTCTTTCCCACCACAGACCTGGAACCTGAATAGTTATTAAAACGTGAACGCAATACGATGTGAAAAGTAAGGTCGCCCGAAAGTCACTAACATGGAATTTTCAAGGAAAACGCCTTAAAAACCACTTGGGTTCCAGGTTAACCTTCAAATCACCCTTCAAGGTTGCAGATCGCTGTGTGATAACTTGTTCAAACTCCATGTTGGCTGTTTCAGGGCGCAGTTTGGGTTCAGTTTGGGCCTGCATTGGGTTCCATGTCAGTTTTTGAGTGATTTTATTGAAAAAATTCGTTGCATGATTTCCCGGGGAACAAAATCCACTTGAGACCGTACCATAAGTTCATGTTAAGAGACCTCAGGAATAGCATGCAGTTCCACGTTGGATTTCGGGGGTGTAAGATCATTTCAGTAAAGATCATTAAAGCATGTTTATTGTTAATGGCCATTTCTGCAATTCCACTGTAGTTGGGTGAACCTACTGGCAATGTGTTTTTTTCTTGAATGCATCCCGATGAAACAATCCCCAGGAGATCACTGGCAAATTCCCTGGCTACTTATCTCCATCCGCCGGTTTGAAGTTTGCCGACGTGCCTAATGGTTTGGCTGCCATCTCAAAGGTGCCAGCCGCAGGACAGGGTTGAAACAACTGGATCCATCTGAAAATCAGAACCGCATATATATATAACATATATACTATATATAATATATATAATATATATAATATATATAATATATATAATATATATAATATATATATATATAATATATAATATATATAATATATAATATATATAATATATATAATATATATAATATATATAATATATATATACACGATCCATAAATTTTACATTATATATAATGATATATATATAACAATAAAACAAGTAAAAATAATAGTAAAAACACTATGAATAATAGATAAAATTATATTATATACAGATTCATTTTTTCAAATATCATCCTTCAAACGTGGTTTATATGTTTGTGGATACACGATAGATATACTTATGATATGATGATATGCAATTTTATTATCCCCAAACCTACACTACAACTATGACAGTATAACATGTTGCTTTGCTGATTTATGTGGGTTGTTGAGAGGCCCAATATGCCAACCCTGGAGGATGGGGTCAGATCTTGGCCTACATGGCTTTCTGCGAGGTCTCCCAGGAACAGACCCCAGGAAGTGATGCGTATGCTGGAGACTTTGGATTCAAGGTGTTGACCTCTTCTGACCCGGCTGAGAAAACCAAAAAGCTTAATGCCGAAATCGCTAACGGAAGACTTGCGATGATGGCCATCATCGGCATGTTTTTCCAGGCGGGGATAGCATTTCTGTGCGCACGCATATTGTTTGTTACACCTCAACAAGAAAAGAAACACCACAAAGAGTGTGGCTGAAAGAGTGCAACAATGTAGAGCATCAGCACAACAGAATCAACATCGTTGAAGGAAAAAACACAATTCTGTGTCAATTGGCATGGCGTGTTCTGAGTTTATGAAGATTATTTCTTGCCAGCCACGTTTTCAGCACACCCACATGATTGATTGTTTGATATTGTTCTTACCGCTATATTTACACATATACTTGCCAATTAGGTGGGTTGTAGAATGTGCCGGGAATGAATATTTTCATGATGTGACGTGCACAGATTGTACAATTGATATAATGCCTTCGAATCATGCACAACGACATGACATTTGCAGATTTGATACTATTCATTTTGTTGATCAAACAAATTGTATATACACATGGTTGGCGATTACATATCATATCCCGCCATAGCATATAACATAATTTCATTTTATATCATATCATATTATATCAAATCATATAATATCATATCATACCATATCATTTCATATCATATTGTATCACGTAATTCCATACCATCATTTTCATAGAATCATCAACAATCTCGATGCTGCCACCCTGTGCATTGATTTCTGCCATAACTTCCATGTCCCAGGATGGTCTGACCGGAAGCGCCTGGGGAGACTGGGCCAACTACACAGCATCTCCTTTGCGCGCATTCGAGAATGAACTCGGCGTGCAGGCGCCCGTGGGTTTCTGGGATCCGGCCGGATTTACCGCCGACGGAAGCGTGGAGGACTTCAAGCGACGTCGCGCCACCGAGATCAAGCATGGTCGCATTTCGATGTTGGCCACCATGGGATACATCACCCCAGCGACTTGGATTTTCTGAAGCTGTGTTTAAAATCGTTTAAGATCATTTCAGTAAAGATCATTAAAGCATGTTTATTGTTAATGGCCATTTCTGCAATTCCACTGTAGTTGGGTGAACCTACTGGCAATGTGTTTTTTTCTTGAATGCATCCCGATGAAACAATCCCCAGGAGATCACTGGCAAATTCCCTGGCTACTTATCTCCATCCGCCGGTTTGAAGTTTGCCGACGTGCCTAATGGTTTGGCTGCCATCTCAAAGGTGCCAGCCGCAGGACAGGGTTGAAACGACTGGATCCATCTGAAAATCAGAACCGCAATAATATATATATATACATACACGATCCATATATTTTACATTATATATACAATGATATATATATATATTATATAACAATAATAATAGTAATAACAATATGAAAAATAGATAAAAACATATTATATACAGATTCATTTTTTCAAATATCATCCTTCGAACGTGGCTTATAAATGTTTGTGGATACATGATAGATATACTTATGATATGATGATATGCAATTTTATTATCTCCAAACCTACACTACAACTATGACAGTATAACACGTTGCTTTGCTGATTTATGTGGGTTGAGAAGCCCAATATGCCAACCCTGGAGGATGGGGTCAGATCTTGGCCTACATGGCTTTCTGCGAGGTCTCCCAGGAACAGACCCCAGGAAGTGATGCGTATGCTGGAGACTTTGGATTCAAGGTGTTGACCTCTTCTGACCCGGCTGAGAAAACCAAAAAGCTTAATGCCGAAATCGCTAACGGAAGACTTGCGATGATGGCCATCATCGGCATGTTTTTCCAGGCGGGGGTAGGGCTCTGTGCGCATATTGTTTGTTACAACTCAACAAGGAAAGAAACACCACAAAGAGTGTGGCTGAAAGAGTGCAACAATGTAGAGCATCAGCACAACAGAATCAACATCGTTGAAGAAAGAAACACAATTCTGTGTCAATTGGCATGGCGTGTTCTGAGTTTATGAAGATTATTTCTTGCCAGCCACGTTTTCAGCACACCACATGATTGATTGTTTGATATTGTTCTTACTGCTATATTTACACATATACTTGCCAATTAGGTGGGTTGTAGAATGTGCCGGGAATGAATATTTTCATGATGTGACGTGCACAGATTGTACCATCGATATAATGCCTTCGAATCATGCACAAAGACATGACATTTGCAGATTTGATACTATTCATTTTGTTGATCAAACAAATTGTATATACACATGGTTGGCGATTACATATCATATCCCGCCATAGCATATAACATAATTTCATTTTATATCATATCATATTATATCAAATCATATAATATCATATCATACCATATCATTTCATATCATATTGTATCACGTAATTCCATACCATCATTTTCATAGAATCATCAACAATCTCGATGCTGCCATCCTGTGCTTTGATCTCTGCCATAACTTCCATGTCCCAGGATGGTCTGACCGGAAGCGCCTGGGGAGACTGGGCCAACTACACAGCATCTCCTTTGCGCGCATTCGAGAATGAACTCGGCGTGCAGGCGCCCGTGGGTTTCTGGGATCCGGCCGGATTTACCGCCGACGGAAGCGTGGAGGACTTCAAGCGACGTCGCGCCACCGAGATCAAGCATGGTCGCATTTCGATGTTGGCCACCATGGGATACATCACCCCAGCGACTTGGATTTTCTGAAGCTGTGTTTAAAATCGTTTAAGATCATTTCAGTAAAGATCATTAAAGCATGTTGTTTGTTAATGGCCATTTCTGCAATTCCACTGTAGTTGGGTGAACCTACTGGCAATGTGTTTTTTCTTGAATGCATCCCGATGAAACAATCCCCAGGAGATCACTGGCAAATTCCCTGGCTACTTGTCTCCATCCGCCGGTTTGAAGTTTGCCGACGTGCCTAATGGTTTGGCTGCCATCTCAAAGGTGCCAGCCGCAGGACAGGGTTGAAACAACTGGATCCATCTGAAAATCAAAGCCAATAATAACAATAATAACAATACTAATAATGATAGTATTGATAGTAATACTAATAACAATAGTAATGATAATGATAATGACGATGATGACGATGACGATGACGATGACGATGATGATGATGATGACGATGATGATGATGATGATGATCATGATGATCATGATAATCATGATAATTATGATAATTATGATAATCATGATAATCATGATAATCATGATAATCATGATAATCATGATATTCATCATATTCATCATATTCATATTCATATTCATCATATTCATCATATTCATATTCATATTCATCATATTCATATTCATATTCATATCACATACACATTTATTTTCATATATCATCCTTCAAACGTGGTTGATATGTTTGTGGATACACGATAGATGTACTTATGATATGATGATATGCAATTTATTGTCTCCAAACCCACACTAAAACTATGACAGTATAACATGTTGCATTGCTGATTTATGTGGGTTGAGAAGCCCAATATGCCAACCCTGGAGGATGGGGTCAGATCTTGGCCTACATGGCTTTCTGCGAGGTCTCCCAGGAACAGACCCCAGGAAGTGATGCGTATGCTGGAGACTTTGGATTCAAGGTGTTGACCTCTTCTGACCCGGCTGAGAAAACCAAAAAGCTTAATGCCGAAATCGCTAACGGAAGACTTGCGATGATGGCCATCATCGGCATGTTCTTCCAGGCGGGGATAGCATTTCTGTGCGCACGCATATTGTTTGTTACACCTCAACAAGAAAAGAAACACCACAAAGAGTGTGGCTGAAAGAGTGCAACAATGTAGAGCATCAGCACAACAGAATCAACATCGTTGAAGGAAAAAACACAATTCTGTGTCAATTGGCATGGCGTGTTCTGAGTTTATGAAGATTATTTCTTGCCAGCCACGTTTTCAGCACACCACATGATTGATTGTTTGATATTGTTCTTACTGCTATATTTACACATATACTTGCCAATAAGGGGTTGTAGAATGTGCCGGGCATGAATAGTTTCATGATGTGACATGCACAGATTGTACAATTGATATAATGCCTTCGAAGCATGCACAAAGACATGGTATTTTCATATTCGATACTTTTCATTTTGTTTATATATTAACCAAATTGTATATACACATTGTTTGCGATTACATATCATATCGCGCCATAACATATCATATCACTTCATTTTATATCTTGTCATATCATGTCATATCATGTCATATCATATAATATCATATCATATCAGAATCATATCATGATTTTTCTAGAATTATGAACAATCTCGATGCTGCCACCCTGTGCTTTTGATCTCTGCCATAACTTCCATGTCCCAGGATGGTCTGACCGGAAGCGCCTGGGGAGACTGGGCTAACTACACAGCATCTCCTTTGCGCGCCGAGTCCGCTTAGGTGCCACCATCTTGGATCGGACCTGCTGAACCGAGGAGAAAAGGGCCTGTTGATCCACTGTTGGAACTGGTCATTCATGGAACGAGAGTCCATCTGTGGGAGTGACTGCGCTAAGTTACCACTCTGCAAAACGGGTGGTTAAGGTAGGGCCTAGAAGGTGGCGAATCATAGATTTGTCAACCTTTTTGACTCGATGAAGTGATTTGACTTGGAACAATGATGATAATGATGCATTTCGCTTCAGAAAGTTGCTTTGCTGTGCATGGTACAATGGATGGCATATTCTTTGATTGCTGACAGTGCTTGTAGCTTGTTGATCAGTTTGACATCACAACTGCAAAAAACTGGCGCAACGGATGGCTCGAGATATCTGTTTTTAGCATTGGCTGTGTGAGCAAAAGCTGCTCCCATTTTTGGCCGATTCCTTTTTTTTTGGCATAGTTCAGTTGCTTGTTTGCAGTTGCATTGAAACAACTGGGTGCAGGTGAGGAGTATCATACGCTTTAAGGGACAAGCCTGTTGAGTTTACAATTACTATCATTATAATCATGATGACTGTTGTTTTTTTGCTACCCACAAAGAGATTTGAAGTTGTGAGCTGGTTCGAGTGTTCATGCAGTGGTCAGACCATGTCTACCCGTGGAAATCACAATGTCAACAGGTTGAGCATCTCAAGTCGCCCTGAGTTGCCAGGAACCTCCTGTAGTTTGAGGGTTAAAGCAACCTGTTACATTTTGATGTCCCTTGGATCTGGTACTGCTGCGATCCCCAAGTTACTCCAAGTTCCATCCGTGACATGATGTTCTTCCTTGATCTTCCTTGCTCCTGCGCTTGTGGCATGAAAGTTGTCCCCAAAATGCCCCCCCTGGACAGAATTTGGCACTACCCATGTAAAGACAATCCTTTTGTTCAAGATATCCAGAAGCCAAGGCTAGCCATGGACGCCCACCAACAAATAGATCTATTTGATCCATTTTGAGGATCTTCAAGAGCATCACACAGCAACAATGATGGTATTTGAAGGGACTTTTCAAACTTTTCCCCCACACGGCACCAGCTGATGTTGCTACACCAAGGTAATAGACAATGGCTTCCACCAGCCGAGTTTCCGCCCTGGCCGCAGGCGCCACAGGCGCGGGTTCGGAGCAACGCAAGTGGGAGAAGAAGAATATCCCACCTATAGTTGATGAAAATTCATAATTGATGTGATGTACAGTAATGTGATTAACCGATTAACCGATTAACCAAATAATAATATTAATAATGATAATAATAATAATGAACAGCTATAACAAACATTTAGGGATGGTTTGGATCCCATTTATGGTCGAAGGAAGTTTTGAAGTCAAACTTCCGACAATATGGACAGATGAAAAGCAGAGGAGGGAAGAGGCAGAGAGAAGAGAAAGATTAGAAGAAAGAAGAGTAGAAGAAAGAAGATGCAGATGCGCGAAAGGGTAGGAAAGTCGCGAAACACTGTGTTTTTCCAATGATTTGGGGCTCTGGAGGGTCGAAAAGTAGGCTCGCTAAAGCGGCGGGTGCGGAGCCAGCTGGCCAGATGAGAGATGAAAAATTGCACGCCGTTGTGGCGCGAAGCACATTTCGAAGTGAAAAGCTACAAAACACACCAGCTCCGGACCACTTTTGCCAGTTGAGATGTCGAAAAAGTGCACGCCATTGTGCGCGAAGCACATTTCCAAGTCAAAATGCACAAAACACACCAGGTTCGGACCACTTTTGGCAGTTGAGATGTCGAAAAAGTGCACGCCGTTGTGGCGCGAAGCACATTTCCAAGTCAAAATGTACAAAACACACCAGGTTCGGACCACTCTTGGAAGTTGAGATGTCGAAAAAGTGCACGCCGTTGTGGCGCGAAGCACATTTCCAAGTCAAAATGTACAAAACCACATGTTCGCGCCACTTTTGGAGGTTCAGATCTCGAAAAAGCGCACGCCGTTGTGGCGCGAAGCACATTTCGAAGTCAAAATGTACACAACACTAGGGGTTCGGACCACTTTTGGAGGTTCAGATGTCGCTTCGCTTCGCTTCGGGTCATTACACTACACTATACACTCCACTACACTACAGTACATTACACCACATTACACTCCACAACACTACAACTACAACTACAGAACTACACAACTACACTCCACTACACTCCACTACATTAAATTACAATACACTACGCCACATTACACTACACTCCACTACACTACACTACATTACACTACACTATACACTCCACTACACTACGCTACACTACATTACACTACACTATACACTCCACACACTACAGTACATTACACTACACTACACTCCACAACACGACAACTACAACTACAGAACTAATCGGGGATACCATTTTGTCTACAAAAGCCGGTATCATGTGACCCCTACAAAAGGT